TTAGTGATGAGCACGAACGATACATAACGGCAAAATGTATCGATTACAAACTAACCACGATTTTCTTTATTTGATTTGATTTTATTTCTGTGCTTTCTGACACATAGTATGTCAACCATATAAACTAAATATAAATGAAGTAAACAATTCAAAAGAAATAAATGAGCAAAAATAATGAAATGAAAATTCAAATAAATTAAATTAATATAAAATCTGAAAAATAAAGAAGAATGCACGGAGGCATTTTCTAGAAGCCAAAGCTTGTACAGAAATGCCTTGTGCAAACAGTTTATAACCTCCAAAACACATAGAGATTCACGAAAAATGTACACTTTGACAAAAACACGCAATGGGAACTCGAATATAACCACTGAGATGCTGAATAGTAGTAGTTAAAATTGCATCTTAATGTCGCCTGGCCCTCGACCTCGACGGTCAAATTGTCAGGTTCGTCCAGAAAAGAAAACTAGTCGCCTCCGAGAAAGCCACAATACATAACACGGCAAATAAAAAACCGGACATTTTCCTTTATGAATCAAATGCAAATGATTTCTTTACAGCTCGTGTTCCTGGATTTTGATTTATTTCTCTTTCACAATCAGCATGCGACATTTTCTTTCCCGTTGTGAGATGAATCAGCAGTTGATACTGATCATCTTTAATTTAAACAAACAACTTCAAAAGCGAAAACAAATGCAATCATTTTAGCTGCATTGCTCACCCTATAAATGGTCTTAAACAAACATAAGTTCCGCCATGTTGTTACCTTTGAGTAAGCGCTTCCCTTAATAATTATTTCAAAAGATAAAAATACATGTTTTTGGAAATGCTAATTCCGTGCACTTTGAAAAGTGTAATGCTATTAACATTAATACTGGTGGTCTTTGCTGTATCCTACATCTACTTTTTTTACAGACACACTTTTCTTCTGCTTTCAAAAATGCGTTATTTGAGAGTGTCTTTCAATTATACTGATACTAAATCTGTATATCAGTGGAAAATCTGGTATAAGCCTTAATCTGACGAGTGTCTCAAACACCTTGGAAAGTTGAGGGATTTTTGTCCCTGATTTTTTTAAGTGGGGTATATTTATCACTGGTGTCTTAGGCAGTTTATTTACTGTTCTGCATACTTCATGTTTAAGATCGCGCAAGGCATGATGGGAAACAACATGAAACAGTAAGTTCGTAACCATTCGAACAAGGTTGAAGTACAGCATCATACAGAGACCCCTAGATGGCAGCATTCATCTCCTCGTACTCGCTGTTTGCAGTAGGACCTCGGTTGGCATCAAGCCTAGGTATCTCATACCAATCATCTAAGACAATACTAAGATCCTGCCCTCCTCCGTCGGGAGCTCCAGGGTCCTCCTGATCATCCAGTACCCTCCTCCGTGTACACATGAAGCAGACAATGAGCAATCCACCAACAGAAGTAATTGACAATCCACTACTAATACCAATCCACAAGTAAGGAGGTTCCGGAGAGTCTTCGTCACTACCAGACGTGTTGTTGGTCACGAAATGGTCATCGGGGAAGGGGATGATAGTCAAAACTTCGCTTGTCTTGCTCGTGCCAATGGTGCTGTAGGCCGTACACCTGACCTGCAAACCATCGTCGTCTTGTCTAGGAGTCGGCAGAAGAAATCTCATCTGATCACCGACGATCACGAATCTATCGTCCGTGCTGGCATCAATCCACTCAGGTTGTGTACCGTTTCGAAATTCAGCAACTCTCAAGGACCACGAGTAGCGCGTATCTGGCAGTGCTGCGACCGCCACGCATTCAAACATTAGTGCCCATTTTTCAACTGACTTTTCCTGCTGAAAACGAACATTGACTGTCTTGATTTCGAATGGATACAAGGTACAGTTCGGTCCGTTGTTGATGTCGTTGCCAGCAATACAAGTGAACACTCCGAACTTGTCAGATTCTTGGAGAACACGCTCGATGGTGTAAGACTCTGTCGGGTCTGTCTTGAGACTGCGAATGGAGTCGAGTGGCATAGGCGGGTACCATGTCAGCTTTGTACGGACGAGGGCCTCCTCTGGTACTCGACACATCAACCTGACTGTGTCTCCTACTCGGACACTTGATGTTAACATCGTACACTGAGGAGTGGGCGGGTCAACTACATTCAAATATCCACATCTTGAAAACTCCTTCAGATCAGCAATCCTGCAGGCATAGTACCCCGCATCACTAGGTTGTATATCGTTGATTTGCAGCAGAGTGGTACTTTTACCAAATGTTGAGGAAAATCGACTGGTGTCCATAGATGGTACAAGCGATACAGACCGGCAAGTTGCTATTGTTACAAAGGAACCATGACTGCACTGGGAGCTCCAATATACCCACTGTGATGCTGAACAGTCGTAGTCTTGGATAAAGTCGCATCTAAATGTCGCCTGGCCCCCAACCTCGACGGTCAAATTGTCAGGATCATCCACGAAAACGGTCGCCTCCGAGAAAGCCACGAGACACAACACGGCAAATGCAATACCGGCCATTTTACTTGATGAATCAAATGGAAATGATTTCATGAAAGCTCGTGTTCCTGACTTTTGACTGATTTTATTTTCACTTGTCAGCATGCGACATTTTCTTTCCTGTTGTGAGGTGAATCAGCACATTAATATATCATCTTATTTTAAACAAACAACTTACAAAGCAAACAAACCAATCATTTTAGTTGTGTTGATCTCCCTGAAAATGTATTTAACACTTCCGTTATTATTATAAGTTTGTGCCGATTCCCAGGCAACAGTCAAGCCTACATAAATGCATTTACGAGCGACAAAGCGACCGACAATTTCCGCTTTTCTCCCATTAGTTAACAATATTTTCCTTTGATCTCTGACTTTCAACGAATGCAGTGCTGTTTCCTTACTACTTTTTGGTCACCAGGAGAAACATGAGATTCATCGGACTAATGTAAGATTCGCCACTTTTTATAGACAAATCCGGACACGTGATCAATGGACACTCACGACGCCCCCTTCAATAGAGAAACCATTGTGACACGCTACTGTACAAAACCAATATCTGGTCAATAGCTAGCACAATGCTTTTGTCATTGATGGGGGCCTGCGTGATGGAATTGATAGCGTGCCCGGTTTGTTTTATAACTTATAAAAGTTCCAAATATGCAAGCATGACATTACCTTTTGCACTGTTACACTTTATTTACAGAACTACCTTGCGATGTTTACAATCTTTATTATTCCTGTCATTTAATCAACTAGTTTTAATTTCTGTTAGTCATGCTTTATGATATACTGACGGCCATCAATCCCTAAAGGTAAAAATGAAAGTGCTTGACAGAATTATCTCGATTTTACTTCTGATTAGCAAAATGGTGTTTAATTACAGATGGTAAATGTGTTCAATGTAGAGATTCACGAAAAATGTACACTTTGACAAAAACACGCACTGGGACCTCGAATATAACCACTGAGATGCTGAATAATAGTAGTTAAAAATGCATCTTAATGTCGCCTGGCCCTCGACCTAGACGGTCAAATTGTCAGGTTCGTCCAAAAAAAACTAGCCGCCTCCGATAAAGCCACGATACACAACACGGCAAATAAAAAACCGGACATTTTCCTTTATGAATCAAATGCAAATGATTTTTTTAAAGCTCGTGTTCCTGGCTTTTGATTTATTTCTCTTTCACAATCAGCATGCGACATTTTCTTTCCCGTTGTGTGATGAATCAGCAGTTGATACTGATCATCTTTAGTTTAAACAAACAACTTCAAAAGCGAAAACAAATGCAATCATTTTAGCTGCATTGCTCACCCTATAAATTGTAATAAACAAACGTAAGTTCCGCCATGTTGTGTTCGTATGAGTAAGCGCTTCCCTGAATAATTATTTCAAACGATAAAAAAACATGCTTTTGGAAATGCTAATTCCGTGCACTTTAAAAAATGTAATGCTGTTAACATTTATACTGTAGGCCCTTTGCTGTAGCCTACATCTACTCTTTTTACAGACACACTTTTCTTCTGCTTTAAAAAATGTGTTATTTGAGAGTGTCTATCAAATATACTGATATTAAATCTGTATATCAGTGGAAAATCTGGTTAAGCATCAGGAGGTCAATCAGTGGCATAACCAAGGGGGGGGGGCGTGGGGGGGGGGGCGATCCCCCATGAAACCTTGTCACCCCCAGTCGCCCCCCCCCCTCTGAAATTTTGAGTTTCTAAACAAATTATCATTGATCTACATGACCCCCCCCCCATGAAATGTTCCAGCCCCCCAGCGCCCCCTCCCCCTCCCCACACTGAAAAATTCCTGGCTACGCCACTGAGGTCAATTCAACTCCAAAGAATTACTCTTGAACGAAATTAGTTTTCGTACCTTTTTTTCTATCTACAAAATGTTAACCTGGAAGGTACTATCTTGTATGGATAAGTAGAGTCAACCTCGACTCCATGGGCTGCGTGCGCGTTCCTTCAGGATGCAGACCAGTAAAGACCCAAATTGACTACGCTGACCAAACCACGAGTATTATTATTATTAGATAACTTCTCAGGCAAAATTAAAAGACGATTTGCATGCCCTCGAATTATTTGCCGATAGAGCAAAGGACTGCGAGCTTGTCGAGGACTGCAATATAGCATTTCGCTGATATTTGGAGGAAATTGGTTTCTTAAAAGTAAAATTTTTGCAATGTAGCATAGGTATCATTTTTTTATGGCGATGGGCTTCATATTTAATGGGTGATCATCTTTGGATAGAAATTTCTCCAAAACGTTATCGGTTTACCCACAAAAATTGAAGGTAAATATAAAGACGATGAGATAAACCTTCATCTGATGAGTGTCTCAAACACCTTGGAGAGCTGAGAGAATTTTGTCCTGATTTTTTGAAGTGGGGTTTATTTATCACTGGTGTCTTATGCAGTTTATTTACTGTTCTGCATACTTCATATTTAAGATCGCACGAGGCATGGAGGGAACCAACATGGTGCAGCAAATTCATACAGCGACCCCTCAGAGGGCAGCATTCAACTCCATGTACTCGCTGTTTGCAGTAGGACCTCGGTTGGCATCACGCCTTGGTATCTCATACCCATCATCTAAGACAATACTAAGATCCTGCCCTCCTCCGTCGGGAGCTCCAGAGTCCTCCTGATTATCCAGTGCCCTCCTCCGTGTACACATGAAACAGATGATGAGGAATTCACTAATAGAAGTAACTGACAATCCACCGATACCAATCCACAAGTAAGGCGGTTCCTGAGAGTCTTCATCACAACCAGACGTGTTGTTGGACACGAAATGGCCGTCGGGGCAGCCCACGATGGTTACGGATAGCACTTCGCTCGTCTTGCTTGTACCAATGGCGGTGTATGCCGTACATCTCACCTGCAAATCGGCGTCGTCTTCTTTGCAAGTCAACAGAGAAATATTCATGTGATCACCGACGATCATGAATCTATCGTCCGTGCTGGCATCTATCCACTCAGGTTGTGTACCATTTTGAAATTCTGCAACGCTCACGGACCACGAGTAGCGCGTATCTGGCAGTGCTGCATCCGCGACGCATTCCAATGTCATTGCCGATTTTTCACCAGATTTTTCCTGCTGAAAACGAACACTGACTGTCTTGATTTCGAACGGATACAAGGTGCAGTTCGGTCCATTATGGATGTCGTTGCCAGCAATACAAGTGAACACTCCAAACTTGTCAGATTCTTTGAGAACATGCTCGATCGTGTAAGACTGTCCCGGGTCTATCTTGAAACTGCGAACGGAGCTGGCTGTCTCAGGCGGGTGCCATGACAGCTTTGTACGGGTGAGAGCCTCCTCTGGTACTCGACACTTCAACCTGACTGTATCTCCTACTCGGACACTTGATGATAACATCGTACACTGAGGAGTGGGCGGTTCAACTACAGTCAAATGTCCACATCTTGAAAACTCATTCAGATCAGCAATCTTGCAGGCATAGTACCCTGCGTCACTAAGTTGTACATCGTTGATTTGCAGCAGAGTGGTGCTTTTACCAAACGTTGAGGAAAATCGACTGGTGTCAAATGATGGTACAAATGGTACAGACCGGCAAGTTGCTATGGTAACAAAGGAACCATGACTACACTGGGAGCTCGAATATACCCACTGTGATGCTGAACAGTCGTAGTCTTGGTAAAAGCCGCATCTAAATGTCGCTTGGCCACCGACCACTACGATCAAATTGTCCGGTTCGTCTAGAAAAACAGTCGCCTCCGAAAAAGCCAGGAGACACAACACGGCAAATGCAATACCGGCCATTCTGCTTGATATATCATATGGAAATGATTTCATAAAAGCTAGTGCTCCTGGTTTTTGACTGATATTACTTTCACTTGTCAGCTACATTATATCTTTTCCTACTGTAGGCTGAATCAAGCACGTGAAACTAATCCCTTTACTTTCAATTTAAACTACGTGTTTCAAAAGCGAAAACAAAATGCAATCTTTTTGGATGTACTGATCACTCAATAAGGTATTATACAAACGTTATTTCCTCAGTGTAGAAATGTAGTTTATGCATTCGTTTTAACAAGCTCTCGAAATTCTCTAAACACATCAGACCAAAATAGTTATGTAGCTTGGAAATGCTTTTCTGTGTGTTTTTAAAATTTCCTGCTTTTAAAATTTACTCAATCATACATCGACCTTTTTACAGACACAATTTTCTTTTCCAGCTTTTTACAAATGTACTATCTGCAAATGCCTTTCAATTACACGCGCTGCATGCAACGGATATTAAAGCTGTATCATTGGTTATTTGGTTAGCAAGGAGCTTGCTTCAGATTGCTGCTGAACGAACAAAATGTTACACAGGAAGGTATTATCTTTGAAAGTAGAGTCAACCTCAACTCCATGGACCGCGTGTTCGTTCCTTTAGGTGGCAGGCCAGTAAATAAACCCAAATACTATTGTCTACGCCGGTTAAATCACGATTTGCATGCCCTCAAATTCTTTGCTATTAGAGCTTTTTGTGGGCGGGAACTTGAGGACTATTAAAAACAATAAAGAATGGTGGAAGCCGTGAACAGGACTGCAAGCTCTTCTTTGCGTGAAATATGGAGGACGGGCCCTTAAGGCATCCTTTTCATAATGGCGATGTGCTTTAGGATTGCTAGCGGTGACCATCTTGAATGGAAATTTCTCCCAAAATATCATCAGATTACACCAAAAACATTGAACAGAAATGAAAGGTGATTAAACATACTCAAGGGCCTAATTTGATATGTCTCTCACACCTTGGGGAGTTCCGAGTATTTTTCCCCGATTTTTGGAAGTCTGCGTATATTTATCACTGGGTTCTTAGACAGTTTATTTACTGTACTGCAATCTTCACTTTAAGATCGCGCAAGGCATGGTACGAAACAACATGGCGCAGCAAGTTCGTACCCATGGGAACGGGGTTGAAGTACAGCATCATACAGCGATCCCTAGAGCATTCATTTCCATGTACTCGCTGTTTACAGTAGAACCCTGATTGTTATCAAGCCTTGGTATCTCATACTCATCATCTAAGACGATACTAAGATCCTGATCTCCTCCGGCGGGAGTTCCAGAGTCCTCCTGATTGCCCAGTACGCTCCTCCGTGTACACATAAAGCAGATGATGAGGAATCCTCCAACAGAAGTAACTGACAATCCACCGATACCAATCCACAAGTAAGGAGGTTCCTGGGAGTCTTCGTCACCACCAGACGTGTTGTTGGTCACGAAATGGACGTCAGGGAAGGGGACGATAGTTAGAGCGTCGCTGGTCTTGCTCGTGCCAATGGCGGTGTAGGCCGTACATCTCACCTGCAAACCATCATTGTCTTGTCCAGGAATCAACAGAAGAAATCTTGTCTGATCGCCGACGATCACAAATCTGTCGTCCGTGCTGGCATCGATCCACTCAGGTTGTGTACCGTTTTGAAATTCAGCAACGCTCACGGACCACGAGTAGCGCGTATCTGGCAACGCTGCGTCCGCGACGCATTCAAACATCAATGCCGATTTTTCCTGCTGGAAACGAACACTGACTGTCTTGATTTCGAACGGATACAAGGTACAGTTCGGCCCGTTATTGATGTGGTTGCCAGCAATACAAGTGAACACTCTGAACTTGTCAGATTCTTGGAGAACACGCTCGATGGTGTAAGACTGTCCCGGATCTGCCTTCAGACTGCGAGTGGAGCCGGGTGTCTTAGGCGGGTGCCATGTCAGCTTTGTACGGAGGGGAGCCTCCTCTGGTACTCGACCCATCAACCTGACTGTGTCTCCTACTCGGACACTTGATGATAACATCGTACACTGAGGAGTGGGTGGGTCAACTATGGTCAAATGTCCACATCTTGAAAACTCGTTCAGATCAGCAATCCTGCAGGCATAGTACCCTGCGTCACTAAATTGTACATCGTTGATTTGCAGCAGAGTGATACTTTTACCAAACGTTGAGTTAAATCGTCTGGTGTCTATAGATGGTACAAGCGTTAGAGACCGGCAAGTAAAAATGGTTACGAAGGAATCATGACTGCACTGGGAGCTCGAATAAAGCCACTGTGATGCTGAACAGGCGTAGTCTTGGTTAAAGTCGCATCTAAATGTCGCCTGGCCCCCGACCTCTACCATCAAATTGTCAGGTTCGGCCAGAAAAACAGTCGCCTCCGAGAAAGCCACGAGACACAACACGGCAAATGGAATACCGGCCATTGTCCTTGATGAATCAAATGGAAATGATTTCATAAAAGTTCGTGTTCCTGGCTTTTGATTTTTGTACTTTCACAGTCAGCATTTCGTACTTTTATTCCTGTTGTGAGCTGAATCAGCTATTGATACTGATCATCTTCAGTTCAAACAAACAACTTCCAAAGCGAAAACAAATGCAATTATTTTAGTTGTGTTGATCACCATAAAAGGTATTACACACTTCTGTTAGCATTACAAGTTTGTGCCGAGTTCTATATATAGTATAGGCCACAGTCAAGCCTACATTGTAGCTCGTATTCGCATGTATACATGCGAATACGAGCTACAAAGCGACCAAATTGTTTCACTTTTAACTCATTAAGCCAACTTTTTTTGTTCGATGTCAGACTTTCAATGAATGCAGTGCTTTTTTCTGACTCTTTTTGGTCACTTGAACGAATATGCATGAGATTCATCGGAACAATGTCAGATTCATATCTTTTTATAGGCGATTCCGGACACGTGATCACTGTACACTCATGAGGCCCCCTTCAATGGAGAAAGCATTGTGCATGCTATTGTATAAAACACTACACCATGACGGCTTATCTGGGCAATAAACGCAATGCTTTCGCCATTGAATGGGGCCTTCGTGATGGAATTGATAGCGTGCGCAGTTTGGTTTATAGCTTTCAAAAGTCCCTCATATGCAAAGCATGACGTTACTTAGAATGTACATTCACCTTTGGCACTGCTACACTTTATATACAGAACTACCTCATCATATTCACATAGGCCTAGATGTATAATTCCTGTCATTTAATCCGTTGGTTTTTGTTTTTGTTTAGTCATACTTTATGGAACTGAAGGTCATAAATCGCTGAGGTGAAAGTGAAAGTCCTTGACAGAACTATGTCACTTGTTATCAACAAAATTGTGTTGAACTGCAGATGGTGAATGTTTGGGGAAAAAACGTTGTGTATACAGTTGAAAGCAATTGCAGTGATAAAATACTTTAAGACATTTTAAAGACAAAAAAACGTGTTCAAATGAACTGATCATTTACAAAATGATTTCACGGTGCTCAAATCCCTCAGAGGATAGTTGCCAAAACTTTTTGTACATCGTCTGTGCTTAGTTCGAGTTTCATAGCCCCAAGGAAGAACAACTTTTATAATGATATTTTTTTTGTAAAACACTTTTAACTTTCAATGAGACATCGGGAGATAAACAAGAATCTGCCAAGTTTAGTTAAAACTATTTTACCACTTTCTAATTATTTGCTGCCCAGCAATAGGCTTATGTAGGCGAATATTCTGTGCACTACACCGGAGCAAGAGCAGAGGAAACACACTTTTAAGGTTTTGTTTTAGCTAAAATAATACAGAAAAATTGAAAATTCGTTGGGAGAGAAACAAATGGAATTTAGTGAAGAGCACTAACAGAATAATGAAGTTTTAAGCATTTTCAATAACACACACAGCATAGGGCTGAACCAAACGTGGCTGGTTACGAACGGAAGAGTTCTTACTCGTGTTAAGTAGAGAGTAGGTGGGTGTGGCCTCTTGTGATTCACGCCCACCTCCGACAGCCTGGTATTCAGGAATTGTGATGGAGCCTTTCGGGGTATCAGAGTTTTCCTTGACCGATGGCTGAGTTGATATTCTCCTGGGTATCCTCGGTTGCATGTGATCGTAGGCGGGACAGTCTTCGGTGGAGTGGGTGATGGAGGCCGGAGGCACTTTCTTACTCGTGTTAAGTAGAGAGTAGGTGGGCGTGGCCTCTTGTGGTTCACGCCCACCTCCGACAGCCTGGTATTCAGGAATTGTTATGGAGCCTTCCTGGGTATCAGGGTTGTCCTTAAACATTGGCTGCGTTGATTTGCGGGGCGGTAACCTCGGTTTGGACCTGAGACTCTGTGACCTCTGGCAGGGTTTGATGCACTCGTAGGCGGGACCGTCTCCAGTGAAGTCGGTGATGGGGGCTGGAGGCGCGTTCTGCCCACGAGATTTCAACGGCGGCGCGGTCATACCTCGGGGTTGAAAGCGTCGCTGGCTGAAAGGTAACGGCTTGGGTGGGGGTAGCATGGGGGCGAAGCTGGACTGATGACCACCACTTATCTGCGTTGTGACATTTGCCATAGTGGTTGACAGAGTGGCTTGTGAGGAGATTGGGCCATCATCGGAAGGAGTAGGGTCTGATAGCAAGCCTGTCTGCTGAGGTGTGGTCATGCTGGTTGTGGATCCTGCTCCCGCGTCGGTCGTCTTTCTGCCCAAGCGCTTCTTGATGAAGAACACGAGAAAGAAGATAACAAGCACTGCAAAGGTTGAAGCAAAAGCAGCCATCCAAATGTAGGGAGAAGATTCATTGATGTCGGCGCAGTCAGTGTTGTTGGTCACGAAATGGCCGTCGGGGCAGCCGACGATGGTTACGGATAGCGCTTCGCTCTTCTTGCTCGTGCCAATGGCACTGTACGCTGTACATCTTACCTGCAAACCATCGTCGTCTTCTCCAGGAATCATCAGAAGAAATCTCGTCTGATCACCGACGATCACGAATCTATCGTCTGTGCCGGCATCGATCCACTCAGGTTGTGTACCATTTGGAAATTCAGCAACGCTCACGGACCACGAGTAGCGCGTATCTGGCAGCGCTGCGTCCGCGACGCATTCAAACATCAGTACCGATATTTCACCTGACTTTTCCTGCTGAAAACGAACACTGACTGTCTTGATTTCGAACGGATACAAGGTACAGTTCGGTCCGTTATTGATGTCGTTGCCAGCAATACAAGTGGACAATATGAACTTGTCAGATTCTTGAAGAACACGCTCGATGGTGTAAGACTGTCCCGGGTTTACCTTCAGACTGCGAATGGAGCCGGCCGGTGTCTTAGGCGGTCGCCATGTCAGCTTTGTACGGAGGGGAGCCTCCTCTGGTACTCGACACATCAGCCGGATTGTGTCTCCAACTCGGACACTTGATGATAACATCGTACACTGAGGAGTGGGCGGGTCAACTACAGTCAAATATCCACATCTTGAAAACTCGTTCAGATCAGCAATCCTGCAGGCATAGTACCCTGCGTCACTAAGTTGTACATCGTTGATTTCCAGCAGAGTGATACTGTTACCAAACGTTGAGGAAAATCGACTGGTATTTGTAGATGGTACAAGCGATACAGACCGGCAAGTTGCTATGGTTATAAAGGAACCATGATTGCACTGGGAGCTCCAATATAGCCACTGGGAAGCAGAACAGTCGTATTCTTGGTTAAAGTCGCATCTAAATATCGCTTGGCCCCCAACCTCTACGGTCAAATTGTCAGGATCATCCACGAAAACAGTCGCCTTCGAGAAAGCCACGAGACACAATGCAGCCAATGCAATACCGGCCATTTTCCTTGATGAGTCAAATAGAAATGATTTTACACAAGCTTGCGCTCCTGGCTTTTGACTTGTTTCATTTTCACAGTCAGCATGTGATACTTGTTTCCTGTTGCAAGATAATTCAGCAATTGATACTGATCACCTTCAATTCAAACAAACAACTTCAAAAGCGAAAACAAAATGCAATTATTTTAGTTGTACTGATGACCCCAGAAGGTAATGTCCGCAGAGTACAATATAGTTTGTTTTAATAAGCGTTCACATTTCTCTGAACAGTTATTTCATGAGAACAAAATAAATTACGTGTCCTCGGAATTTCCGTGTGTTTTTAAAATTTACTGCTTTAAATCTTAATCCTGGCAGCTGATTGCTCAGTCCTATATCGATAATTTTACAGGCGAATTTTTTGTTCCAGCTATTTAAACATGAGACTTACTTGCAATTAAAGACGCTGCAACGGATATTAAAGCTGTATCCGCTCCGGTCGCGATCTCCAGCAAGTGCAGTTAAGTCACCTTGGCGGTAGATTGCGCTAGTATACACAACATGAATCAAATTCAGTCTTGTCAAGTTTTACCCTCTGACCTGATAAATTCCGAGCATACATCATGCGCTCGCATGGCTGCATTGAAGAAAACAAAGCCCAGACTTGGACAAAGACTACACACATACTGGACCATCAATACCGGATGGGCCCATTTTTTTTTTGGGGGGGGGGATATTCGCTATTAAATATCTGATTAACAACATTTATATTTCCCACTAGGTTCATAAATTTAGGTGATAGTTCTTTTCATTGTGATCAATTTATTATTTTTCACGTTGTCCTCCTTTCTGTTTCGTATTGACAATCGAGCTTACAATTCTCAATAATTTTGTTCACTCACTATTGAAAATCAATATAGTTATGCGGGTTATACAAGCTTATGACAACCTTAAAAATCTATTGTAGGTAGAGTTCAACACCTGCACGCTATATTACTGCTTATTATCCTCCAGTACCACTTGCACCTAAAATAGTCACTATTATAATCTATTTCTGGTTACATCATCAAAGTAAGTTTTCAAAATCCTACGATTGGAATGCGATGTCGCCCTTGAATAAACCTGTCATTCGCTACTCGTGAGTTGGTATTGGTTTTCAGCCTGGTAAGGTAACGATCGACCCGCTGGATGTTAACGCAAACCAAGCTCTTTCAACTAATAGCTCATGACAAAATTATCACAAAATGTACAGGTGTGTTGGCCAGATAAGGTAGATAAAATATGAGGGCGCAATTTAGTTTGTAAAAACTCTTCGAGCAAGCTGGGACGCGAACTGTAGTTATCATAGTAAGTTTGACAAACTTCGCTCTAGCGAAAGATGGTTGGATAGACTAGGCGACTATTAATCGTACCAATGGGCACGGTTGCATCGCTGGTTACCAATAGCCGTGCACGTCACAATGCACAGCAGAAGGCCATGCAGTACCATGCTTTTAGTTTTTTTGGTTGATGTTGACATATTGACCATTGTTTGACCATCGTTTGATTAGAGACAATCGCACGTTGCTATTAGTGCGCAGGCGCAAATTGCTATTAGTGCGCAGGCGCAAGTTGCGTCACGAATCAATCACAAGTCAACTAATATAACGGTCCTCGCCCGAACTTGCTGCCAATCATAATTTCCCCTCACTAAATATAGCGCCCTCCTATTTTGCCTGCCTCATCTCAAAAAAGCTCAGAAGAATTATGAAACTAAGATAAGAGTTGACATTAACAACGCTTTGATTAAGCTTAATTTACAGTAATATTATACATTTTTAATACTGACAGAAAAGTCATTTCTATTAATATGAATAAGTTTGTGCCGAGCCAAAGGCCACAGTCAAGCCTACATAAATGCAATAACGAGCTACAAAGCGATCACAATTCTCGCTTTTCTCTCATTAAATTAAACTTTCCATGACTTTCAATGAATGCAGTGCCGTTTCCGGAGTCCTCTTCGGTCACTAGGACAGACAGGAGATTCAACGGAATAATGTCAGATTCAATACCTTTTATACGCGAATCCGGACACGTGATCACTAGACACTCGCGTCACGAGGCCCTCTTCAATGAAGAAACCATATTGTACAAAGCAACTGCCCCTGCATGACGCTGGACAATAGCTAGCACAATGCTTTCGCCATTGATGGGGGCCTTCGTGAAGGAATTGATAGCTTGCCCGATTTGGTCAATAGCTTTCAAAAGTTTCTCATATGCAAAGCATAACGTTACTAGAAATGTGCGTTATTCACTTTTGGCACTGTTACATTTTACAGACAGAACTACCTGTTAGTGGGCCAAGGACCTCGGTTGCCATCAAGCCTTGATAACTCGAACCCATCATCTAAGACAATACTAAGATCCTGCCCTCCTCCGGCGGGAGTTCAATAGTCCTCCTGATTGTCTAGTACCCTCCTCCGTGTACACATGAAGCACATGATAAGGAATCCACCCACAGAAGTAACTGACAATCCACCAATACCGATCCACATGTAAGAGAGTAAGAGAGTTCCTGAGAGTTCCTGAGAGTTTTCATCACCACCAGACGGGTCGTTGGTCACGAAATGGTCGTCGGGGAAGGGGATGATAGTCAGAGCTTCGCTCGTCTTGCTCGTGCCAATGGCGGTGTAGGCCGTACATTTCACCTGCAAACCATCGCCGTCTTTTTTAGGAGTGAACAGAAGAAATCTCGTCTGATCACCGACGATCACGAATCTATGGTCCGTGCCGGAATCGATCCACTCAGGTTGTGTACCATTTTGAAATTCCGCTACTCTCACAGACCACGAGTAGCGCGTATCTGGTAGAGCTGGGTCCGCAACGCACTCAAACATCAGTGCCGAATTTCCTGAGGACTTTTCCTGCTGAAAACGAACACTGACGGTCTTGATTTCGAACGGATACAAGGTACAGTTCGGTCCGTTATTGATGTCGTTGCCAGCAATACAAGTGAACACTCTGAACTTGTCAGATTCTTGGAGAACATGATAGACCGTGTAAGACTGACCCTGGTCTACCTTCAGACTGCGAGTGGAGCCAGGCGTCTTAGATGGGTACCATGTCAGCTTTGTACGGGTGAGAGCCTCTTCTGGTACCCGACACATCAACCTGACTGTGTCTCCTACTCGGACACTTGATGATAACATCGTACACTGAGGAGTGGGCGGGTCAACTACAGTCAAATGTCCACATCTTGAAAACTCATTCAGATCAGCAATCCTGCAGGCATAGTACCCTGCGTCACTAAGTTGTACATTGTTGATTTGCAGCAGAGTGGTACTTTTACCAAACGTTGAGAAAAATCGACTGGTGTCAAATGATGGTACAAGCGATACAGACCGGCAAGTTGTTATGGTAACAGAGGAACCATGAGTGCATTGAGAGCTCGAATACACCCACTCTAAAACTGAACAGTTGTAGTCTTGGTTAAAGTCGCATCTAAATGTCGCCTGGCCCCCGACCTCTACGGTCAAATTGTCAGGTTCGTCCAGAAAAACAGTCGCTCCAGAGAAGGCCACGAGACACAACACAGCAAATGCAATACCGGCCATTTTCCTCGATGAATCAAATGCAAATGATTTCATAGAAGTTCGTGTTCCTGGCTTTTGATATTTGTACATTCACAGTCAGCATATGATACTTTTATTCCTGTTGTGAGCTGAATCAGCTATTGATACTGATCGTCTTCAGTTTAAACAAACAACTTCTCAAGCAAAAACAAATGCAATAGTTTTAGTTGTGTTGATCACCCTAGAATGTATTACACACTTCTGTTAGCATTACAAGTTTGTGCCGAGTTCTAGGCCACAAGTCAAGCCTACATAAATGCAGATACGAGCTGCAAAGCGACCCATTTTTTTCACTTTTCTCTCAATAAATCAAATATTTGTCTTCGATGTATGACTTTCAATGAATGCAGTGCTGTTTCCTGACTCCTTTTCGGTCACTAGGACAAACAGAAGTTTCAACGGAATAATGTCAGAGTCACCTTTTTTCATAAGTAAATCCAGCCATGTGATCTCTGTACACTCATGAGGCCTCCTTCAATGGAGAAACCATTGTGCACGCTATTGTATAAAAAAACACTGTCCCACGACGGATTATCTGGGCAATAGCTAGCACAATGCTTTCGCCACTGAAAGGGGCCTTCGTGATGGAATTGATAGCGTGCTCAGATTGCTCTCTAGCTTTCAAAAGTTCTTCATAAGTATGCAAAGCATAACGTTACTATAATAATAATGCATTATTCATCTTTTGCACTGTTACACTTTATATACAGAAATACCTCCAAATTATCCCATGCCTGTAATAAATATAATTCCTGTCATTTTATCCGCTAGTTTTGGTTTGTGTAAGTCATACTTTATGGAACTCACGGTCATAAATCCCTAGCTTAAGGTAAAAGTGAAAGTTCTTGACAGGATCATCTCGATTTTACTTGTGACAACAAAATGGAGTTGAACTGCAGATGGTAAAGGTATTACTGTATAATTCCGTTTGGAACTTCCTCCAGTATACATTGTAGTTTGAAAGCAAATGCATTAATAAAAGACTTTTTTAAACACATTAAACACAAGAAATCATGTTCTATTGAACTGATCATTAATGCTGTCCCAGTGCTCAATATCCCTGAAAGGATAGTTGCCAACACTATTGTCTGGCAGTCCACAAAATTACTGTGATTTTCTGTTACAATATGACTGGTGCGTAGTTCGAATTCCAACACCCCAAGAAAAAAAGAAAGAAAAAAAAAACGATTGAAATGATATATTTTGGTGATGCAAACACTTTTCACTTTCAATGAAACATCGTAAAAGTAGAAAAATCCGCCAACGTTTACTGGAGACTACATGCACTTTTAATTACAACTTTCAAATTATCTACTGCTCTGCAATATTCTAATTCAAGCGAATGTTTTGTGCACCAGAGCAAAAGCAGGTGAAAAGCCCATTTTAAGAGCGATGGAGGTGCGTGCTTAACTAGACAAAAAGGTTTGTTTTCATTAAAAAAAAACCATAGAAATTGACAATATTCGTTGGAAGAAAAAAAGGGAATTTAGTGTGAAGCACGAAAAGAAAAGTTCTAAGCATTTTCAATGACACATACAGCATAGGGCTGTACCACACGTGGCTGCTTACGTACGGAAGATCCCTTGGTTATGTTTGGGAGAGAGTACATGGGCGTGGCCTCTTGTGGTTCACGCCCACCTCCGACAGCCATGTATTCAGGAACTGTGATGGAGCTTTCCGGGGTGTCGGTGTTGTCCTTAGCCGTTGGCCGAGTTGATTTTCTTCGGGGTATCCTCGGTTGTATGTGATCGTAGGCGGGAAAGTCTTCGGTGGAGTCGGTGATGGGGGCTGGAGGCACGTTCTGCCCTCGAGATTTCAACGGCGGCGCGGTCATACCTCGGGGTTGAAAGCGTCGCTGGCTGAAGGGTAACGGCTTGGGTGAGGATAGCATGGGAGCGAAGCTGGACTGATGACCACCACTTATCTGCGTTGTGACATTGGCCTTAGTGGGTGACAGAGTGGCTTGTGAGGAGATTGGGCCATCATTAGAAGGAGTAGGGTCTGATAGCAAGCCTGTCGGCTGAGGTGTGGTCATGCTGGTTGTGGATCCTGCTCCCGTGTCGGTCGTCTTTCTGCCCAAGCGCTTCTTGATTAAGAACACGAGAAGAAAGATAACAAGCACTGCCAAGATTGGAGCAAAAGCAACCCTCCAAATGTATGATGAAGATTCATTAGAGATGTCGGCGCAGTCAGTGTTGTTGGTGACGAAATTGCCGTCGGGGCAGCCGACGATGGTTACGGATAGCGCTTCGCTCGTCTTGCTCGTGCCAATGGCGTCGTACGCCGTACATCTCAGCTGCAAATCGTCATCTTGTCCAGGAGTCATCAGAAGAAATTTCGTCTGATCACCGACGATCACGAATCTATCGTCTGTGCTGGCATCAGTCCACTCAGGTTGTGTACCATTTGGAAATTCAGCAACGCTCACGGACCACGAGTAGCGCGTATCTGGCAGCGCTGCGTCCGCGACGCATTCGAAAATTAACGCCAATTTTTCACCTGACTTTTCCTGCTGAAAACGAACACTGACTGTCTTGATTTCGAACGGATACAAGGTGCAGTTCGGCCCTATTTTGATGTCGTTGCCAGCAATACAAGTGAACACTCTAAACTTGTCAGATTCTTGGAGAACACGCTCGATGGTAAAAGGCTGTCCCGGGTCTACCTTCAGACTGCGAATGGAGCCGGGTGTCTTAGGCGGCCGCCATGTCAGCTTTGTACGGAGGGGAGCCTCCTCTGGTACTCGACACATCAACCTGACTGTGTCTCCTACTCGGCCACTTTTTGATGATAACATCGTACACTGAGGAGTGGGCGGGTCAACTACAGCCAGTTGTCCACATCTTGAAAACTCGTGCAGATGAGAAATCCTGCAGGCAAAGAACCCTGCGTTACTAAGTTGTACATCGTTGATTTGCAGCAGAGAGGTTCTTTTACCAAACGTTGAGGAAAATCGTCTGGTGTCTATAGATGGTACAAGCGATACAGACCGGCAAGTTGCTATGGTTACAAAGGAACCACGACTGCACTGGGAGCTCGAATATACCCACTGTGATACTGAACAGTCGTAGTCTTGGTTAAAGTCGCTTCTAAATGTCGCTTGGCCCCCGACCTCGACGGTCAAATTATCAGGTTCGTCCAGAAAAACAGTCGCCTCCGAGAAAGCCACGAGACACAACACGGCCAATGCAATTCCGGCCATTTTCCTCGATAAATCGAACAGAAATGGTTTTATACTGATTGTACCTCGCGTTCTGACTATGGGCGTGTTACACTGTTACAGTCAGCAATACTCTTTCCTATTATGAGTTGAATTAAGCACTTGATAAACCCCACCTCCAATGTAAACTAACAACTATCAAAAGGGAACATGCACTGTTTTCAGTTTTGCTTTTGTTGCCCCATAATTTACATGTATCTAAAACAATAAAGTTCTCAGCGTAATATTCCGAAGCTATATGCCCCGTGTATGTAGCGGGCGAGGCGAACCCTCGTTATAAAGTACAAGATTAAGAGCCATCACGTGACACCATCCAAGAACACCATCTTCGCTTTAAACTGACAACGAACAATACTTGCTCAAAATTCACTATTTAACAGTATTTAGATTAATCGATGGTCAAATATATAGGGTTGTCAAACGGGAGATTTAATGAATAAAATAATACAAGCTACTGACAGTGATCGATTGCTTCATCGAAACACATAACATGCCAAGTAATACATGCAACTGGTACATCTACTGACAAGTCAACTTACACTTTTGAGGCAATGCACAACTTTTACCTTTAAACACATTTATTTTGGATAAAAAAAAAAACGCGGGCAGAATATGAAACTGTAAGTTTACGCTGCAACACAGTGTCTACAAATAAACTTCAAAAATAAAAAAGTATTTTCCTAAACTGAGCTTTCCCTACATACAAAATAACAACCTCCGAAATCAATACTGCCTAGATTAAAAACTTACAATGCAAAAGTCAGTGCGTATGCAATTGGAGAAGATAATCCGCTGCCCGACAAGCATTCGAATATTTTGCCCACCAGACGCGCAAAAGCAGGGCTAAGCCCACTTGAAAAGCGTTGAAGATGCTTAACTAGACAAAAAAGTTTTGTTTGCCTTAAAATAAGACATAGAAATTGAAAATTCGTTGAGAGAAAAAAAAATGAATTTAGTGATGAGCACGAACGATGCATAACGGCAAAATGTAACGGTTACAAAGGAACCACGATTGCACTGGGACCTCGAATATAACCACTGAGATGCTGAACAGTAGTCTTGGTTAAAAATGCATCTAAACGTAGCCTGGCTCCCAACCTGGACGGTCAAATTGTCAGGTACGTCTCGAAAAAACAGTCGCCTCCGAGAAAGCCACGAGACACAACACGGCAAATGCAAAACCGGCCAATTTCCTCGATGAATCAAATGGAAATTATTTTATAAAAGCTCGTGTTCCTGACTTTTGACTGATTTCTCTTTCACAATCAGCATGCGACATTTTCTTTCCCGTTGTGAGATGAATCAGCAGTTGATACTGATCATCTTTAATTTAAACAAAAACAACTTCAAAAACGAAAACAAATGCCAACATTTTAGCTGCATTGCTTATCCTTCAAATGGTATTAAACAATGTAAATTCCGCCAAGTTGTGTTCTTTAAGTAAGCGCTTTCCTATATAGTTATTTTACAAGACAAACATACATGCTTTTGGAAAAGCTAATTCCGTGCACTATGAAAAATGTAATGCTGTTAACATTAAATGTTGTAAGCCCTTTGCTACTCTTTTTACAGACACACTTTTCTTCTACTTTCAAAAATGTGTTATTTGAGACTGTCTTTAATTATGCTGATATTACATTATTACATCAGTGGAAAATCTGGTTAAGTATCAGGTAGTCAATTCAACTCCAAAGAATTACTGTTGAACAAAATTAGTTTTTGTACTTTTTCTATCTACAAAATGTTACACTGGAAGGTACTATCTTTTATACCTCGACTCCATGGGCTGCGTGCGCGTTCCTTCAGGTTGCAGACCAAGACCCAAAATTGTCTAGCTGACCAAATCACGATAATTGCTATTAT